TTTTTTTTTTTTTTTGGGAGTAACGCCACTTTCAATCATTGTGCCACCTGCATTAAACGTGTGTGCGTGCTACTGCCCCATGTGGTTATAAGTTGTATAGCGCCACACGCGTGAACACGACCAGCGTGAATACAGCGCCACCATAAGGCCGTTTAGGGTTCAGAATCGTAGTCTATAAATTATTAGGCCTGTTTTAATTGGGCAAGTTGATGTAAAAAGATTTAATTAAGCTTATATAATTTACTGCATATGAAGCAACGCTGTATATAAGAGTGATTCTGAGTCAACAAGTAATCTCTTATAATGCTTTTTAGCACTGACATTGTGTAGGCCTATATTTAAATGATATAAATGGTTAATGTAAATATGTGACCATGGACCACAAAACCAGTCATAAGGGTAAATTTTATGAAATTGAGATTTATGCATCATATAATAAATAAGCGGAATAAATAAGCTTTCCATTGATTTCCTTTGTATGGATTGTTAGGATAGGACAATATTTGGCTGAGATACAAATATTTGAAAATCTGGAATCAGGGTGCAAAAAAAATCGAAATATTGAGAAATATATATCAGCCTTTAAAGCTGTTCAAATGAAGTTCTTAGCAATGCATATTCCTAATCAAAATTAAGTTTTGATATATTTACAGTAGGAAATTTAAAAAATATCTTCATGGAACATGATCTTTACTTAATATCCTAATGATTTTTGGCATAAAAGAAAAATCGATCATTTTGACCCATACAGTGTATTTTGGGCTATTGCTACCAATATATCCGTGTGATTTATGATTGGTTTTGAGATACAGGGTCACATATAGTCTTTAAACACATTTTGATGCTTCCCATTCACGTCAATCACATTCTATTATTCAGTCAGTAATATAATATTATAAGGATGATGATTTTTTAAATTATTTTTTATTTTATTATTATTGTTTTTTTATTATTATTATTGTATTATTGTGTTCCTCAGACCTTGGAAATTAAAAAGAAAAAAAGAAATAAAATGTAAAAAATCTTTCAGGACACATAAATTGGTAAGCAGGTAAATGTAAAACATCCTGTGGGGAAATATTACAGAAGACCAGGTAAAAAATAAATAATTATAAATATTCCCATGACATATGATATATTCTGAAATATGTCAAGTCATTATTCACATTATTTGGCTACAGAAAATATTTAGTGTTATAAGTTGCCCCATATTGGGCATATTTCCTCACTGAGTCTCTATGACATCAGAAATCATTTTAGGAATAAGCCTGTATAATTATTTCCACCATGATTAATTGGAGTTCATATTGTATTAAAGATGTCAAAATAGTAATCCATTAATCTCTCTGATTTAGACAGATACTTCATTTAATGAGTAATTCTCCCCCATAATTATCACTGGTGTCCACTGCTAACAATTTCAAATTCTGGGCTCTTTGCCTGTATATTGGTCTATGCTCACTAATTAAAAGTTGCATTTAAAAATTATAATGATCTCCCCTTGATCTGAGGGCAGATATACAGTCATCCCCCATTTACTATATACTTGCTAAAGCCCTGCAGACATATTTCATGAAAACTTTATTCTGTCTGTCAATATTTTTAATATTCAGTTTGTAGGTGAGATTATAGTATCCTTAAAAAAATGTGTCTCAAGGTTGTGCATCATCCTTGCTGTTAAATTTTCCCCTTTATAATTGCATAACTCAAAACACAAAGAAAAAATCCCATTTGTCGCAATTACACCATCATTTTTCCAGGAACTAAACTCTTCAAGGACAAATTAAACGCCCTTTCATTTTTATCAAATTGTCTGTTACCATCATTTTTTAAAATAGTAAACAACTTATAATCAAAAAATAATACATTCACATTTATTTAAATATCAGCATTAACTATCTTCTTAAAAAAGCACATTGTAGTTTAATTTGACCTTGATTTTAAGGCTTGTAATGCAAATGCCGAAACTGTAAAACTCCCCAAAAACTTACCTGTTAGCCTACTATCTGAAGGCATGATCAAATCTCAGTATATTTAAAATGTGCTATTAACTCTTAAGCATTTTTTTTTTTTTTTTTTTTTTTTTTTTTTTTTTTTTTTTTTTTTTTTTTTTTTTTTTTTTTTTTTTTTTTTTTTTTTTTTTTTTTTTTTTTTTTTTTTTTTTTTTTTTTTTTTTTTTTTTTTTTTTTTTTTTTTTTTTTTTTTTTTTTTTTTTTTTTTTTTTTTTTTTTTTTTTTTTTTTTTTTTTTTTTTTTTTTTTTTTTTTTTTTTTTTTTTTTTTTTTTTTTTTTTTTTTTTTTTTTTTTTTTTTTTTTTTTTTTTTTTTTTGTCTGATAGGCTGGAATGTTACAGAAATGTACCTTTTCACCCGTTTTACAGAATACTGAAGAAAAAATTCTGTCATCTACAACAAAGGCAAGATAAAACGACATAATTCAGCTGGACAGACAGTGAGGGTGGAGTAATTTTTGGTTTCGCATTAACAGTTAATTACTGTCCTAATACCAGTATATTATCTTTATTGGTGTAATGAAGTTAATTAGTGGCCGGTAAGAAGCTGCTTTGACGAGAATCCTTCAGTGGAGGGGCGGGAGTGGATGAGTGTTGAGTTTCCGCAGTCGCTGCTGCTATATAAACCCATGATTTCCACTACACTTCTACAGAAAGGCGTCCGTGCCTCCCTTTGCATTAGACTGCTGCACTCCACTCGCAACACCAGCATGCCGATCCAGGTAAGAGCTGCAGCAGGACATCCAGACACAGTACTGGCGTTGGCATTGCACATGACCTTGGCGCACTATTTTCTCCGGTCGCTGACTAAAATGAACGCTTCTAGATTACTGTGGCGGCCATGAGTGTTTTTATTCGCGCATTTCATAACACAAGCGCGGGTTATTTTTTTAGTGGTGGTGTGTCCGTGATGTTACGATGTTACGATTTTCTTTTCCTGATACTTATTCAAATATGTTGTGGGCGATCAGTTAAAGCAGTAGTGATAGAAGTAAACCATTTCCTTGTAGGCCTGACGCGCAACGCAAAGCTGCTGCTGGAAACGTGGAATTGGAGCGGGGTTCGCGAGTTTATGGCAACACACCATAACTGCGTACTTACCAAATGTTATCGATTATTTGTTCGATATTAAACTAATATACTAAGAAGCAAACAAAAACTAAGGAGAAATGCAGTTGTTTTATTGCATTTAAGATTCATACAACAACAACATGATCAAGAAAACAAAACAAAAATCATAAAGCAGACACTCAATTTTTAATACAGCCACAGTCTAACATCAATATTACTTTGAGAATTAGTAGTTATGGGAATTATGCACGACCAAACCTGACAAAAGAAAGAAAATAAATACTATTTTACATTAGCCTAGGCTATAATTAATAAGTAGCCCTGTACATAATCTAAAATACTAAACAAGTAAATAATCTCATTCCCCTGACTCCATTTTAAACTGTGCAGTTTATCAACCATTGAAGTTATTGTTAAAAAAGAGTTTATGAGGTTACTACAAATCATCATTTAGTCCTGAACTATAAAACCTATATAATTTCAAAAATTTTATCTACACTGGTTTCAATTTCACTGTAATAGCAGCAGCAGCAGTTTCCAGAACCTGGCCATAAAAGATATGGTAGCAACATTTTAATATTTATGGATTCAAATTAAATGTACAGTAAGAAATGGATATTTAATTAACTAATTTACTGTTAATATACCACTAACCCTAAGTACTAAAATGTATTATGCTCCTTTACTGGCAACCACCATAAAAACACAGGGGGTAAAGAGAAAGCAAAATGATGAATCAAAGTTCATCACAGGTAACATATAAGATGACCTATTCTTTTTCACTTCCAAGAACTGTAAATGCCCTTTTTTCCACGATGTAAAGGAAGGGAACTTGCTGTTAACCAATTAACAGGTTTAGCAATGTTTTTACAGTCCTTCACCATTAAAATGAGAATCATTTGAATGTTTATTGCAAGAGAATTGCACAAATCGCACAATTCCTCCAAACTGTCCCAAATTTTAGTAAGCAGGTTTACAAAAATCCATATTAAAATAATATAATATTTGGTTTGACACTAGGGTCAACGAACAACATTTGTTGAAGAATAATTAAGTTAAAATAAGTTAATAAAGGTGCTTGAGTATGAGTCACGAGTTCTCAAGCATTAAGGCATAAGCCTTAAAATCATAAGGTTTTTACGATCACAAGAATCATTGTGTCAGGTGTCCAATTTTATTTATTTGTTTATCTCTGAAATTAGTTTACTGGAACAGCTTTTGTCATCAGAGCTCTTTGTGTTTTGTGTTGCTGTGGCAATGAATTGACTTACTAATGAATAATGGATTAAGAAATGAAGCTGTTTGATCAGTTTTATGTTTTATGCTGCATTATTCATGCTCGTCTTTTTAATTTTCTTTCAGGTTGGTCAACATCTTCCAGATGTACTGGTGCATGAGGGAGACCCGGGGAACAGCATCTCAATGGCTGAACTTTTCAGGGGCAAAAAAGGAGTGCTTTTTGGTGTGCCAGGAGCATTCACACCTGGATGTTCAAAGGTACCAACATTTTTGTGAGGAAAAAAAAAACATTAACCTTAAACATTAAACAAAAATACTTTGTTAACCTCAACCAAATCTAAGGGTTCAGCTAAATCATTCTCTCTACAACATTAAAATATCAGAAAATGTGCTCAGAACATCAGTAATTATTTTAACGTGAATAGTACTATAAGCATTTTATTAATGGCCAGGGGCCTCATTTATAAAATACTGCGTAGAAAGAATCCTACATTTGATTTTATGATCATTTCTCAAAGTCCGTACGTGTGATTCATAGAACGAACGTACGCACAGAAAACGTGCGTACGCCTCTCTTTTAGATGTGAAATCTATAAATTGCAATGATCTTTAAATTGTGCGCAGCTGAACTGTTTCAGATCTCCGCACTGTAAACAATGTCTAATTAATGTCCTTGACTTATAAAAGAGCACCTGACAATGTCCAAATCTTTTACAAGCGGCAAGAATGGCTTATATTTCCAAAAACCTGCAGCACAATAAATATGAACGTTGCCGTGGATTTTTGCGTACGCATACTCTACGATCAAATCTGTGCATACGCACGTTTTATAAATGAGGCCCCAGGCCTAAGCTGCAATATTCAAGTTGTCCCTGAAAAAGTCTGACCCTTGCATAAGTTTATGGAAGAAGTGCAATAAAACTAATATGTATAATATCATAAGTTAGTCTTGAATAAATCTCTCGTCATCTATGTAACAGTGTCTTGTTTGTCTTTATCCACTTGTGTTTTCTCAGACTCATCTCCCAGGATTCATACAGATGGCTGGGGATTTGAGGGCCAGAGGTGTGGATGAGATCGCATGTGTGTCTGTTAATGATGTGTTTGTCATGTCCGCCTGGGGAAAAGAGAACGGAGCAGACGGCAAGGTGGGAAAACTCTCCGCCCTTAATTAACCTGCCTTTTACTAAAACAGTCTAATTCGTCTCTTTAAGGATTTAGAAAGACAGACAGACTGGAATTATCTATAGAGTCATTATATGGCTGATTTATTATAGGTGCGGATGCTGGCTGATCCCACAGGAGCATTCACAAAGGTTACACTTGCTTCTGAATCACCTTCATGCATTGAAATCAGGAAATATCACAGGATTAAATGTTATTTTACTTAATGCAGTCCCTTTTCTCTACACAGGCTGTGGATCTCTTCCTGAACAATGATCACTTGATCCAGGTGCTTGGAAATTTGAGGTCTCAAAGGTGAGATGACTGTCCCTCAAGTCATGATTATGGGATCTACTTTATTTTGCATAATTTTATTTTTTAAAAATTCCCCCCCCAAAAAATATGGGATAATTTCTTCTCCACAGAATGTGAAGATGATAGCTAGTCAAATAAGTGTATAATTTAATCAAACTTTCATTTTCATGTGAAACTGACACTTTCACTTCTCAACTGCCTGTGCTGATCCTGGTTGTGTGTATGTGCAGGTATGCCATGCTGATTGAAGATGGAGTGGTCAGGAAGCTCAATGTCGAGCCTGATGGGACAGGCCTGACCTGCAGCTTAGCCCCAAACTTTCTCAGTGAGATTTAAGTTACTGAGTGTAACCAGTTTACAATGTACAATGCGTCACCCTTTTGTCATAGACCCAATTGCCCAATTATCATTCCAAAAACAGGGCAATGGAAATTCCCAACAATGAATAAACACTATTGCATATGCTGTGGGGAAACCCATGTGAGGAACCAACTTGTTTACTTGGAGCAATAATTCATTGTTTCCTATTATGTTTGGAAAAATGCACACGTTTGGCTGTATTGCGCACAAATCTGTTTCTTTTGGTTATGTGTATAACCTACTGTATATAGTGGTTACCCAAGCAGCAATAAACATTTTCCTCATGACTGCATCCAATTTGGTGTGATTTTTGAAGCATTACATGCAGTATAATGGAAGTAAAACCATATACGGGTGTCCCTATGATGCAAGTATGATGGCACATTCAGCTTTGATAGACATTGTACTGAACAGTTTTATAATTTTCCTTCTCAGCTATAATTCACAGTAAAATACAACTCACTCTTAAAGTCTGGTAAATAAGATCATGGTTAATATTTATTTTACAAAACACAACAAGCAATGAACAAGTACTTTATTTGTCATATCTGTCCCATATTGGACATGACGACAGTTAAAGCTAACGGAAACCTTGAACTGCAAAGTTGAGAAGAAAAAATATTCACAAAATAATTTTTAAAAAAAAGAATTCACAGTGGGGGAAAATGGTTTTAGTGCCTTCCTGAGTCATTTTTTTCCTATCTTATTTTTGCTCTGTAAACTTGATTTTCCAATGTAAAGAAATTAAATTGTTGAGAACCTTTTTCTTTAGAAGAAAAAAAGACCAGAAAAAAAAATAACTACAGAATTTATTTTAGGTGGGAAGAATCAGGAAGACCCCTTGCGGTTTAGGGTTTCCATAAACCTCCAACAACTCTTTATTTGACGAATGCAACATCTGGGATCTTTCCTTGTGCCTGTTTAAAAAAAAGAAAGGACAAAGGCATTCATAAGATAAATGCAGGACACACGAGTATTTGAAGAGTTCATTTGCAAAAACATAACTCCATTTTATTTATTTTCAGAAATCACGTTTTTTTTATTGTGCACTCCAAGTAACATCAATCAAACTGCAGTTTATAATAATTAAAAATATAATATAAAAAGTAATAACTCAAACAAATAAGGCAACTTGTAAAATTAAAGTTCATTAAAAGTATGGCTTCTATATATATATATATATATATAGTTTGTTTTATAGCAAAAGCAGATAACTCCACATTTCATGTTTCCGAGTTAAACAAAAACACTTGTTTAATATTTGTAACCTCCTCAGCTGACAATGTAGATGCCTGACAAATGTTGTTGTGATCATAGATTGTATGGTTGTGATCACACGCAATACAGGGAGCAGCTTTTCCCTCACCATTGTAATGTGCTGCTTTTGTAAAGTATCGTGAAAAAATTTCAGCTTTTATTTTCCTTTTACGCCCTGAAGAAGATATCACGGGTTCATCAAGTTCATCTAAATTATCCATCCTCGATTACTTTTAGGCAGCTTTGATAAAACTCCTCTCAGCTAGCGTGTCTTTTCAAAGAGACTGGCAGCCTTGTCACCTGACCTGAATACAGCACACTGATTCGCTAAAATGGACTTATCGGCTTCGGTTCACAAACAGAGATGGTCCTCACTGCAGAACACAAGATCCAGGGGGCGTGGTTGGATCCAGATCCAACTTCTCCCACATTACATATGGCGCTTTTCCACTGGGACAAACAAGGGCGCTTGTCGGCTTCTGCTATAAAACGAGAACTCACAATGCCTTGAAAGTGGATAATACCTGCTTTTTTGACAAAACGTGTTCAGATCACGCCATGTGTGGAGAATAATGCACGGCACTCAGCTCTTGTTTTTTTTT